AAAAAGCGTGTGCTGCAAATCCACAAATTCACTGAGGCTACAGCTTCCAATCTGCTGCTGTCCTCATCAACTTTGTCTTTTTATGGACCCTGTGGCCATTTTTACTGTCAGTGAAATCAACTGAAGTGATACTACGGTACCAATTGTCTGTTTTTTGTCAAACTTTACATAAGTTAACACATTCATACGTGTTTTGACAGCAGTGCCTTACAGATACACACAACCATGTACCCAAAAACAATCACTTCCTGTAGCAAAAGAGTCCAAGAGACCTAGCAATGATATTTTAGGACTGTAGGAGCTGACCACAGTAACTGAAGCAAACTCCATGAAGAAAGACCCCATGCCAGGATTGGATCCTGGGACCTTCTTGCTGCAAGGCAACATTCCTGACAACTGTGCAGAAATAGAAATAAATGTTCTACCAACATTTTAGTTCCAGTGTAATGCTAAACCACAGTGGCATTACTACATTAACTTCAGGGAAGTGGTGGATCGATGGGACCCTCAGGGCATTAGTGTGACTCTGTGTGGTGCGCTGGCACTCCGGTTGGTCTGTAAAGGCTGTGCACGATGGGCCAGGCATTTCCTCCAACAGGAAGTCAAGGCTCAGAGGGCCCGAAACTGCAGAGAGCCAGAAAAAAGCAAAAAGCAGAAACATTTGTTCTAAGATTTTTTTTGATCACTGCTGCTTCAGTGCAGAAATGGGTCACGGCTGCCAGAAACACATCACACATCTTGTAGTCATCTGAGTCAGTGGAATCTCTGATGGGCCTCTTTTTGCAGTGTGCTGTCAGCGCTCCGGTTTCAAACGCTGATATTGTTTTACTTTTGAGTCTTTCCACTTTTCTACTCATTTATGACGACTGATTACATCCCTCTTTCTGTCTTTTTTTCTCCTTGGTGCTCCTGTTTAGACAAACAAGAGGTTGCCTCAGACTGAACAGCTCTCCATTGCACTTCCAAACACTTGCTATGCAAAGTGATTCATTATCTGTAATCAAACCCAACACTGGCGCTTCGTGTGAACATAAACAATCTTACAGATTCATCCTGGGAAACACAACCAAGGATGGAGGAAGGAGTCTTTTGTGCTCAATAACAAAGTGTGTTCAAGCCTCCCTGACCTTCATTTTCTTCTCTACAGGATGTCTCAACCCAGATACACCATCTCTAGCAGAAATTCATATGCCCACTGTCTCAGGATACAATTTACTTGAAAGCACAAGCACAATTTGAGTAAGGAGTTGTTTTTTTTTTTTTTTTTTTTGACCAAGATGAGTGATTTAAAGAGGCCACATTTTTTCTGTAATTCCAGAAGATTGTACTTTAGGTAAATGAGTTTGGGCTAAACCTATCCGGTGTTAATTAGGCCTGAGAGTAGAGCAACAGCCCCTGACCTCAAACACCAACAACAGATGAAAGAGAGAGGTTTTTCTAAACTGCTAAATATGAAAAACACTTAATATAAAAAGCTTGGCAAGGCATCATATAAGCCCAAACGCATACCTATGACCCACATTATTTTGCCTCTAGTAGAAAATGAATTATTATTTACCATTTAAACACATGATTAGTATTTTTCTTTATATTCCATTACCCAACCACCTGCTCCATACACTGGTTTTTATATTTTTCTCCTTTACTTTCTCCAGGTACAAATTTACCTTCCTGCCACTGACAGCCAACAGTGACAAATATGTGATCATTTGAATAAAATTAGAAATCTATTTTTCATATTTCAAATTGTATTAAATTAATTTCATTCTTCAATATTTGACACACAAACATTCCATCATGACAATGTGCAAATATGTTTTGAAGTGTTTTGCAAATTGATTAAAAATAGAAAACCAAGAAATCACATTTACATAAGCAAACCTAATTTGGCTTATCACATAGGAGGAGTTAGTGTCACTTTGACCCTAAAGCTGCTATGATCAAAAAAAGTATTTAATAAAGGGTCAGTATTATGAAAAATATAAGTTTTTGAGCTTCACAACATGTTATGATGTTATTCCCTCAGCAAAACCTGGAGTGCTGCTTTGATTCTTTCATGTAGGTTTGAAAAATCTTTCAATTCTGTTCAAAATTCCACTCAGCTCCTTCAGATCAGCCAGCAGCAATTAGCAAAGACCTGCTGGAACGACGCATCTGCTGAGATCACTATATGAGTAACATTTCAGTGCAACGCTGGTAAATTACAAAGTTAAATTTCTTCAAGTTATTTTTGATATATATAGCATTTTTATAACTGATGATAACAAAATTATTTGATTGTGCTATAAGTGGTTCTACGAGGCAAGAAAACACAATGATTTAAAGCTAATGTTCTTATGCTGCTGATTGAGAAATCAACAGCCTTCCAAAGTGATCCATCATCCTTAACATTTGGGTTTTACTCTCAGAATCCACACTTGTCCTTTTATTTCTGCTTACTGACACAACTAGACCTTCAATAATTAAAGATTGCTTCAAACTAAATATATTTTGTCCAGTGTTTTTGAACCTTTAAAAGTTGAACAATGACGAAACAGGAGAAACTATTTTCCCTGATGGCGGCCATGTATGACATGGCCAAACTCTTCAGACTTTTCCTCTGATGGGGCGGTAACAACGTCTCCACATATATTTTATTTAACATTTGTGGAGCTGTAAAGGTACAGTATTTTTTTAAAGAAAGAAAATAATACTTCAGATTGATTTTAAAGACATGTGAATAATTCATTTGACAAATGCTATTAATAAGATTTTAATTAAATTTAAATATTTTAATGTACCTATTATCAATTCCTTAAAAATCGATTGCATTGCTATTTTAGGATACGTCTCTATATCTTATTACCGTATTACTGCCAAGCTAACATTGAAAGCTTTTTCCTTACAAAGGCCGACAATAAAGATAATATCCATGGTAATCAGATTTTAGTTTTTAGTTGTTTTTTTTAGCTACTTAGTTTATGAAGAGGAATGTCTATAACAAATTTTGCATTTTACACAAACAGCATCTGCTTCCAACTACCTGGAACAATAGACCATCTGTAGCTGTTATTTTGTGCACCATGACAAAGGCACAAAGGGATGAAGTGAGCTTATGCAGAGGTTATTATATTGTTGTGCAACACTAACTAATTTGGCAACAATGAATTAAATTTTAGTTTAATTTCTGCATTCTCCAGCTTAAAATGCAAGTGGTGCCAAATAAACTGCCTTCACTGTCTGTACCGTTTTGGTATCATGACAGTACAACCTTTTTCAATTTGTATATCTAACAGTGTTTTAAAAACCCAAACTCCTAGCAGACAAGGTTTACATGCAGTTAGCCTGATGTTAGCATGTCTTGTGTTAGCCAACTCAAAACTCCAATTCTGCTCATAGATAACAGATCTTACCAGCTGAGACATATTGTCTCAGCTCACGAGACAATAAGTAATAATAATAATAATAATAATCAGACGAAATTATTTTTCTTGCCAATAACAAATTATTAAGTAGGGCAATGGTTGAAAGCCTGATTTCTTTTTGGGGTTTTATAAAACCTAAAAGCTAAGTGTGGCCAGATGCATCAACACATAATAAAAAAAAGTGAATATATTATTCACAATAACTGTTTCATGGTATTTCCTAACGAAGCATCAGCCTCATTTGTTCTCCTCCAGCCGTCGCACACACCTTGCTCTGCTGCTTGCTGAGTGGCTACACACTCCCTTCCCTGATGCTAGCCCAGCAGCTAACCACAGCTGCTTTTCTCCAAAGGCACTACTCAGTTTTAATGTAGTTTTCCTTTCGTCTCTTCATACTAAACTACATACAATTGTTCACTTCTCTAACATAATAAAACATGCTAGGTGCTGAAATTAATAGAGATTTAGTGAACAAAAATTGGTCAGATTACTTATCCTTGAGTCTTCTTGTCTCTTCTCCATTAATTTTGATTACAGCTTCAGGTAGTGTTTGAAGAAGTTCTCTGGTGGATAGGCCATATCAAACTGGACAGTCTGCCATTGTGCTTCTGGTGCCTTTTCTATCATCTGGTAGGAACTGATGACAGAACACTGAGTGGAAGCTGAGTGGAAGAACTGGCAACAACGTGCAGATGCTTGTCAGTTCAGCTACTCATCAGCATCAGTCTTAAAGGTTTCACCTGGTTTGACAGTGGAGTACATTACTGGTAGGCGGAGAGGTTGGATTTGTCCAGAGAGCTCATATGGATTATAGAAAGATGGCAACCGCTTTCATTTTGAAGTGAATGTTCGTAGGTGCTGTTTCTGGCACTTATAGACATTTGCCTGTCACAAACTTTACTCAAAAGCTTTACAAATTTTCTCCTGATTTGTTGCAGAAAATTGGAAAAGAGATATTTTAGAGGTGTATTCAACCAGGATGATGGGTAAAATATTATAAGGTAAGATAAGCATTTTTAACAATCAGAAAGCTATTGGATACATATTCGATGTAGCACCACATATGGAAGTGGCGCTTGGATGTTTTTGGGCGTGAAAAGATCGGAGGGGCCCCTCAGCCTGCCATGAAAACGTTGGATATGGGCCACATTGCCTGCTGTGTGAATGTTGCCATAGTTGAATCTATTTTATCAGCAGGAATTGGTTCAAGAATTCCAGCAAACTAGTGTGAGAAGCTTGTTTGACCTGAGTTACACCATTTGAAAGACAATCCTAGGTAATGTATGTAAACTTTTGAATATAAAAATTTTAATTTAAACTTGGAATATTTTAGCGTGCTTTCACACCTGATAGTCCGGTTTTCAATTCAATTGGGAACCAAAATTGCAACATTTGTTACATTGTCAACTGGTGCAGTTGTCCTTCACACTGCACTGTGTCAAACCAACCAAACACATTGGGGGGACCAAAGTACAATGCATTCTGGGTTGCACTGACCCAGGATGCCCGGCACTATAGCTACTATAGCTGCTTTTAGAGCGGTCTCCAGTCCACTTGGTGTTCAAAGAGCACCAGAGTTCACGTCAACTGAACCCAGACCTAGGTTCTTAGACAGAAACAAAGTTCATTTTTGGTTGATTGCTCATTCAGATCTTCAAAAATAAAACAGACTTTCTGCTCAAACAAACTAGAACAAGGCTAGTGTGAGTATACCGTTGAAAGTCTAATACCAAAGATATAATTAAGATGTTCCTAAGTAATGCAAAACGGTAAAAGTTGAGTCTGTGTTGAAGTGACACAGAAATGGCTCTGTGTCTGTAGAGTTCTGATGTCAACCACACACCTAATTGCTTTTTGAAAAACAAACAAGAGCGGCTTATCCTTCAGGTGGAGGACGCACACAGTACACGCACGCACATCCACAACAGAGGCCATTTAGACAGACAGCTTCTCTTAAAGCTGTAATCCAGAACGATTGAACTGTGACATCCTCAGCTAAAGCCACGCAGCTCACTTTCTCATTTAACTTTGTTCCCTGCTCAGCTTTTTCCCTTCAGACCACCTTCTCCAAAAAAACGACACCGGACGTCCAAAAAGTAATCAAAGCAAGTTTTCAGAGTCATAAAATAAAATCTGAGGACGTGCATCCCGTTCTGGGGAAAAGAGTGACATCTGCGGCGCTCTGCGACGTTAATGATGACACATAAAGTGGATACTTCTTGTCCCACACTCCGATTGGTGGAGCCGAAGCCATTGTTAAACGCCCGATAAACGAACACCTGTGCCCGCATAAATGTTCATTTAAATATTAATGCGTGAAGACGAAGATCTCCACATGGAGAAGAGGCTTTCTATTTCACCGTTTCTGCCTTCGTAGGAGTTGGAATACAGACGCTTACTGATGGTTTCTGCTTTATGGACCTGGAACGGCCATTATTCTGAGCATGTGAAGTCAGTCTCCTTTTCACAACGCAGTGCTGCAAAGTGTTGACATCGATGATTGGAGGTTTCGCTCTCTGCACCCTTCCCTTCTCCTCCCGCTCCTCCTCAAATACATCAAAACAGAGTCAAGGAAGAGGGGGAGAAATGTGAGGAAGAGCAGGTGAGGGGAAATGAAATCCACAAGAGAGCAGAGTTATTTAAGACAATAAGTCTTTGTCATTAAAATCCTGTTAGCTGATTTAAGATCAGAGTAAAGCTAGCTGTCAAGTGGGTTGCTGCTCTTTATTGCTGGTCTAAAAACTGTAATAAAAGGACTGTGGTGTTGTATATATTGTGCAGCTGGAATCTGGAATCTCTGGAACAAGCGAGGAGAAAACTGCCGAATGATGGGAAAGAACCGACTGCATGAGAAATGAGAGGAATGTGTTCCCCCGACATGAAAAGGCTGCGTGAAGCAGGAGGCAGTACATACAGTCGCACAGTCTTGACAGGGAAATTGGCAAAGTGCAAAGTGGAGAGCGCAGAGAGCAGAGCTGGTAGATCAAAGTGTGTATTTACCTTCAACTCCAGTGACCTGACTTAAATCCCATGGAAGGTTTGCACTGTTGGGGAAACAGTCATTTTAAATCAAAGGTTAAACTCGTGTAAGTCTCCACAGGCAGCAGCTGCTTCTTCCTCTTCAGATGGGGGAAAGCTGGACTGTTTGTTGGCTTTAGAAAATGGTTATATGGAAGAACTAAAATGACATTTCTTTACGTTTTCAAATGTTTTTATTGGCAAATGCGCTTGTGCCACTTTATTAGGCAAACCGACAGCAGCAACTCAATGTGTTTAGGCAGGAAGGCGACTTACAGGAGTTAAAAGTTGGACTCAGAAGGAGGAAGAGAGGAGATTTAGCTGCCTTTGAACATGCCATGGCTGTTAGTGATCACACTGGGTGCCAATAAGAGCAGGAGACCAAAGGTAAATTTCACATCGGTTTGCCAAAATCAGGCAATAACAGATTGGAAAACCGTTGCCTGGTTTGATGAACCATATTCAGAAGATAGGGTCAGAATTTGGTGTAAAAATAACATGGATTCATCCTGTATCCTGCCTCGTATTAATGGTACATGCTGTTGGCTGCTGTGTAGTAGTGTAGGAAAGATTTTCTTAGTACACTTTTGACTTCTAAGTACCAGCAGAGCACTGCTGCTGATCAAGACTTTACCCTTTGCGAACGTAGTGTTCCCATCTTTGGTTTGGAGTCCCAACAGGATAATGCAACTTGACACACTTTTTCATGCTAGTTTCATGGTAGCCTGGTGAAAACCAGACCACTGTTCTACGCTTCCCTTCATACAGAAGGTCTGGACCCTTAGCTGCTGAAAAACAACTGCTTGTTAGAGGCGTAGACAGATATTTAAATTTGAAACAGATGGATCTGATTTTACCCAATAGCTAACATTTAGCCAAGCCATAAGAAGTCAGTTTGATCACGAAGGAAGCAACACTATGAGGTTTACCAGAAATTAAAGTGCCATAAGTAACCATCCCCCAGCAAAGAGATAAGTGCTGAACTGAACATCTTTGGCAGCAATAAACAGTCTTAGACATTACTTTTTCTCTGACTTTAATTGCTCAATATATGACCAACATGGACTGAACAGTTTCCTTCACTTCCTCCATTGCCATTGCTTAAACTTCAATTCTAAAACAACACAGAAAATTGACATAGTTCACAACTTGTCCTTGTGTTAATTGATTGGCTGAGATGAAATACATCATGAAAAATCAAATTCAATGGGAGAAATCCCAGACAGAACACTGGAGGGAGATGAGAATAGATCTGCATAGGAAGGTGAAGGTCATTTACTGGCAACATTAGTCATTTTCTTCTTCATGACCTATGAGTATTTTTCCTCCCAGGAGATGGCTGCATGTCTTTTCTTCAGCATAATCTTGGTTAAAACAGAAAGACAATGGTTTCACAGAAATATTTGCTCTTTTGTTACAGCTGCTAATTGGATTAATTTCAATTGGTCTCTTTCACTGCACCATCAAACTGACCTGGGCTTTAAAAACAGCACAGATAAAAATTCACCGCAGCAGAAACCAATCTCCAACCTTCCATTCATCAGCAAAATTATTGGAAAAGCAGTGTTTTAATGGTTAAACAGCTTCTTAACCCGCACTGAAGAAAAGATCAAGACTAGACTTGAGTTTGCTGTACAGTATGAGGAAAACTCCATGGTCAGGAGAAAGAACATTGTTTGATCTAATGAGACCAAAATGGAGGGTTTTAACCATTAGGCAAGATGCTATGGTTGGAGGACACCAAACACTGCTCACCACTATACATAAACCATCCGCACTATGAAGCATGGTGGTGGCAGCACCAGAAGGCCTGGACAGAAGAATGAAAATAAGGAAATCATTGAGGACAGTTAGTTTCCATCATATAACATTGATTTTCTCAGCCCAAAGCATCTAACTAAAGCTACAGAGATGGTTTGAGTGGTGAACCACCACTCCAGGTGGATAATCTTGAACAGAACAGACGTCTGCTCTGTTTTTGAAGAGCAGATATCAGCCCAATGGAGAATTTGTGGTAAGGTGCATGTGTTACCTATAATTATTCAATTGTCAATTTTGTAGAAATCAGTTTTCACTTTCAAATTATTGGAATTTTTGTCATTTTTTATTTGTAAAATTTTATTGATCATGATTGATTACTAAAACAAATCTGACATTCCAAAGGCCAATCGTCAATGAATTTTACTGCACCCAATAAATGGAGCAACTTACAAAAACACAAAAGTGCAGTACACTAACTTTAATATTGATGAATATTGTATTTTTATCTTTTTGTATTTTATCATATTCTGTTTTCTGCTGTATGAAATTCGGTTGTACGATGCTATTGTTGAAAACAGTTATTGTTAAAAACAGGTTATTCAACAATCACCTGTTTTCTGAACAGGTTATATTTGAAAATGACAATTAGTTCTCAATCAACTTACCTGGTTAAATAAAGGTTAAATACATCAAATAAAAGTAAAAAACCGAAGGAGGTGAATACTTTTTATAGCCAGTGTAGCTCCATCCTCCTCACAAACTGTTCTGATGTTAACACAGTCAGGCGCAAGGTGAACAAATGCACAAAAAATAAACAAGAATAAATAAATGATTGTTTTTGAAGAGCAGACAGCGACACTATCTGTTCAGGTTTAAGACCTATAATCATTTGCATTTTTAATACATCTCCATACCATAACAGCCGAACAAATTATTAATTCATGCAGACTTAAGTGTGAACAGACAGTGTGAATCTCTGCTGCATTTTTCTGCTAGTTATTAGTGTTCATTTCCATCCTCTGCTGCCTTTATATAAACATAATTTAGTCACAGACAAAACTGAGACCGGCTCACTGAAACGCTTACTGATATTTTGTTAAACTGGAAATGGCGGGGTACACTCCAGGTCAAGCTGTGACCTTACTGACTATTTTTAAACCTATTTTTGTTAACATAATGTGTCTATTGATTGAGGCTTCATCTGCAGTAATTAGAGTGCTTACTGAGTCTTTTGTAGTGATAGTTTTATACTCTGAATTTCCAACTTCCCAGAGAGATCTTAGTGAATCCATGAACAAGCTCAAGCTCTGTCAGATTTGATGGAAACGTCTGTGAAGAGTAATTTTCAAACCCTGCCTCATTCTCGATTTAATTTAAGTCTGGGCTTTGGTTCATTAAACACATGAATATGCTTTAATCTAAGAAACAGGAAGGAAACACACATCCACTCTGGACAGGGTGCTGGATCCCAAAAGGCACAGAAAGCTGACCTGCTGGTTTTATTTTTAAATGAGCCAATATAAACTGAGTCATCATCTTTAGATACAAGTCTAAAGTACAAGTATAACACCTGACAGTCCAGTAGACTTGGTTCCACTGGTGACCAAAACGTTTGTTCTATTTTCAGCTTTTGGAGCAGTCTCCAGTTTGCTTGCATTCACATATGCATTCGAACCGCACCAGAGTTCACCTCAACCAACACCAAGCTGAGGTTTGTAGACAGACCAGAGTTTGATTTTTTTAGTCAATGCAAGCCTTCCCAAACTAACCAGACTTTC